TCTTGTCACGCAGTAATTCCTTTCCAGTTTGGATAAGACTTTGCTGAAGTAGGCTATAACCAATTCTTGATCTCCTTTTCGTTGAGACAAAACTCGGCCGATCCCCGTGTTACTCGCATCTGTGTCAAATACAAAGTCATTTCCTGCGTCAGGGTAGCTCAAAATTAGTGTGTTGCACAGACGCTTCTTTAACTCCTGGAATGCAATATCACAACCTTCGTCCCAGCAGAATTGTCTCTTCTCTTCCGTAAGCTTAAGCAGTGGTTTGGCAATATTAGCAAAATCTTTCACAAACTAACGATAGTAGGAGCATAAGCCCAAGAAAGCTCTAACTCCTGTCTTGTCTTTTGGAACTGGCCAATCTTTTACAGCGACGATTTTATCCGGGTCTGTCTGCACCCCCCTTTTCCGAGACAACATGACCCAAGAATTTAACTTGCCGTCTAAAGAAGGCGTATTTTTCGGTCTCAATTTGAGATTGGCTCCTCGTATTTTCAATAACACTCGTTCCAGGTTTTGAAGATGATCCTCAAATGTGCTGCCCACGATAATTATGTCATCCAAATAGACAAGACAGGCATCCCCACTCAACCCAGTAAGTACTAGCTCCATAAGTCTTTCAAAAGTAGCTGGAGCATTGCACAGTCCAAAGGGCATGACCTTGAATTTCTACAAACCCTTTCCTGTGGAAAATGCAGTCTTCTCTTTGTCTCTAGGGTCTATTTCCACCTGCCAGTAGCCACTTTTTAGGTCCAGGGTAGTAAACCACTTCATTCCTGTCAATGTATCCAATGTGTCGTCGATCCTTGGCAGTGGATAGCTGTCCTTCTTCATAACTTTATTCAGTCGACGATAGCCCACACAGAAACACATGCTGCCATCCTTCTTCTTTACCAGGACCTCAGGTGAACACCATGGACTAGATGAGGGCTTTATAATGCCATTCCTTACCATTCTCTGAATTATGGCATCCATCTTTTGTTCACGTGCCATCGGTGACCTTCTAGATTGCTGACAGATTGGTAACTCATTTCCTGTATTTATTTTGTGGTGAACCAATCCTGTCTTCCCTATATCAGCATCGTTTGATGAAAAAATGACGGCATATCGAAGCAACATCTTTTTAGCTTTGTTTAGTTCCTCTTCCCGACAGATCCTTATGACATTCCCCCAGAAGCGTCAACACATTGAACATGGAATGTTTCATATTGGTCGCAGTAGATTGTTCTTGGCATCTACGCATCCAAGCAACTTCTTCACAGGTGCCCATTAAAGTGCCTTTTCCAACAACCTGTTTTCTATCACTTGGATTTAGAACACATACTGCCAAAATGTTTGTGGCCCTCACCAACGTTCGCGCCATCTTCCATGGTAGGTCACTGTCTAAACCCTCTATGAGGACACAACGATTTTTCTGGCCAGCGTTATCTGGTAGTCTAACTGGTACGATAGTTTCTGATCTGGAAGAAGAACAACCTTATTCAAACAGCGTGCTTCACCCGATGGTGCACCTTCCATAAAGAGTTCTGTTGAACCGCATTTTAAGACTCCCTGCTTGACATCAATCTCACAATGATGTTCTCTCATGAAATCCAAGCCCAGAATGCAATCGTCCCTTATATCGGCAATGATAGCCTTATGCCAATAAATCTTGTTGCCTAGTTGCAATTCCACCTCCTTCTCGCCTCAGACAGATATGTGCTGAACAGTCGCTGTTATAAGACGAATACAATCATGTCCACTGAAGTAATCCCCAAGAAACTGTTTTGCCAGCCGAGAACTGATGACCGTGCGAGAAGCTCCAGTGTCCAATGTCAGCTTACATGGTGTTCCGTTAATTTTGCCTTGGATAATCAGGCTATTCCCATCATGGGCTTGAGAGATTGAGATTCCTGGGGCTCCCTCAAAACCAGCCAGCACCTGCCCCACAGTCCTGCCCCATAGTTTGGCTGCTGGTTCCCCAGCAGGGAAACGAGTAAATGCCACAGTTCTGGTGTTTACTCGTTTCCCTGCTGCCACTTCAGCTGGGCAGTGATATCAGCCGCCTCTACCTTCTGAAGTTTATCCTCCATTCGGTCTCTTCCAAGGTGTCCTCGCTTTGGGCAATTCATCTGCAGGTGGCCCCTTGCTCTACAGTAGTAACACTGTGGACTTGTCGTTACAACCTCCCTAACATGATGGGATTGATCATCGCATCTTACTGCCTCCACCTCCAAAGCATGGGCCAAAGCATCCTTCAGAATTTCATGATGTCCCAATCTAACAGTGGCTCGAAATTCTAGATCGCATATAAAATCTATGAACGCTTCAACCAATGCAGGTGAAGACTGATACGCTTTTCAGACCAGCTTTTTAACTTCCAGTGCCCAGCACTGTAGAGTCTCAGCACTACGTTGCACACGGTCCTTAAGCTGCGCCCGATACACGTGCTCAAAATGCTTGTCCCCATATCTGGACTCCAATGCCTCCACCAGTTGGTCGTAAGTGATGTCCTTATCGAGGGCCTCTAGTACAGTCAAGGCCTGATCACGGAGGGCCAACGTGAGTGTTGTCATGGCCTGTGCTTTATTCCATTCATTCATCCTCACCACGGCTTCAAACTGAATTTTATAAGCCAACCATGAAGATGTCCCATCGAAAAGGTGATACTTTAAATCCACGTACTGCTGGCGTAAATATAACGGGATTGGCATTCCTAATCACAGATATGAGCTCCACCAAAGCTTTCTCAACATCTGTGATCTTCACTTCAACTTTGGCAATTAGATTCTCATGCCGTTGGACCTGCTCTTCATGGTGCTCAACCTGCTCCTTGATTACCTTTAAATCGCTACCAATCGTGGCATGCAGTTCCTTCAGTTGACGTGCCTGCTGTTCTTTGCGTCGCTGAAGCTCTTCTTTCATTGACATGCCTGCTCTTCTTGCATATTTTTCAACTGACTGGTCTTCTCTTGTAACGTCACCAACAATACAGATAGGTCCAGCATAGCCGGTGCTGGAGTTGCGCCAGAGGTGCTGGCAGTTAAAACAGAATCAGTTGTTTGCTGACCATCTAATGTCCAAAAGAAAATTCACTAAAACGCCGCTGATCCATCGCCTGCTGTCGCTGTTGGCTTTGTGTACAAATCACTTCAGTGTCTTCTTTCGGCATAACTGGCATGATTTATACCGCACTCTTGACACCAATTTGTTACGAGCTCTGAGGCTCGGGATGTAAATTCAGAATACAGTTTACCGAAACTGACGCTTTTTAAATACACTAACGACAAAAAAACTTTATATAACTCGTTAAAAGAAAAAATTCTATGACATTCTTTTTTTCGAATTGTTCTTTTTTTTTCTAAATCGTTCTTCTTTTTTTGAATCATTCTTTTTCTTTTCGCCACTCTCCGCACCATGGTGCTAGTCTCCTCTGAAGCCGGCGCGACAACATCTTTACGAGAACAAACACGTTTATTTGATTCGTTTTATGTTTTTTAGTAATGAGTAAAGCTATCTATAGCATAATCTTTTTTCGAATTTTATTTTTTGACATATAAAATTTTTCACCAATTTCAATGCTAATATTCAATCTACAAAAACGTATTGTCATCGGGAGCAGCTAGGTATGATAAGTTTCAACCTGATCGAAATTAAGAAAGTGGTTGAAAATAGACATATAATATTTTACTTCGACAGACAGAATAAAATCAAAATTAAATAAAAACGTATAATTATAAATTTTATATTATTAATTATTACAAAAGACAAGTAACGCTTAATTTTAAAGTAAGAAGTAAATTTAGAATAATATTGTAAGTGTAAAAATGAGTAAATCTTTTATTATATCTCACCTCACTTCAAATATAATACGTGATTCTTTCGACTTCCTGACAGCCTCGACTTCCTTACACCGAATTTAATGCCACTAATGTCTCGTATAGATCTATCCATGCCAAATTTCTCAGAAATTTATACTAACACCGCTATAATAATTGCTTATATTTTAACAGCACCGAATGTAATAAATAGATAAAATAGCGCAGAGATTCGTAGTGTCAGTACATACATAATGTAAATTCGTAACACTTTAAAAATTTTACATGGATCTTTAAGGTTTTATTTAAAGAAAATCTAATTATGTAATTTATACAATGAATAAATACATAAGATTATTTAATACAAAAAGCTGTTGAAGTAATGCAGGCATGGAAATAAAATATATCCACTGTTAACCCTCCGTAAGTCGCTAGGAATGGGGCCCTTACTTGAGTCGCATGGGTCTCACAGACCCAGTGTTTTTAATATGAAATAATTCAATTTTATCTTTTGCGTAAAGAAAGTACAGTTTCTTAGTTGGATTCTGCGCTTTGTTTTCTATCTAGTAATATAAATTACTTNTAAATTATTGTTATCGATTATTACAAGTTGTTTAGTTTTATCTGCTGTAATTATTGAAAGATTATTAGTTTTTAGAAAAATTTCTGTTCTATTTATTAATGCCTTATATTTACTCACTTCAGACTTATTTTTTTAAAACTTTGGATAACTGTTCCTATTAAATTAACTTTTTTTTTTTAATTGGTAAATCTTTTATACTTTTATCAATATTGGCTATGAAGTCTATTGTTACATTATCTATAGGTAAATTAAATTCTAATCCTAAAGTCAAAAATTGTTTTATACATTTTGGAATATGTATATTTGAATTATTTACAATTAAATTTTCCATCCATTTTTTTCTTTTCGCTAGGCATAGTATAATTAAACAATTTATTAGTTTAACTTCTTTTTTTATGCTTATAATTATTCGCTATTCCTTCATACGGATTTTTTGTATATTGATATTTCTGTAGACATTTCCTTAATTGGTATTTAAAATTATTCTATTTCTTACATTTACTTCTGATGATAGATTTTATTATTTTTCTCTCAATTTTTTAAATCATGTGTTTTGGTATTATATTTCTTATAGATTTTTTAAATTTTAGAGTATTCGGCATGTACTCTTCCCNATTTTCATATTTTAATTTTATACGTGTAGGTATGTGAGATGTCCGACACTGTGAGTTTTTATAAAATCATGGTATACACTGGTTGACATGTAAATATCTGGTTCTTTAGTAAAATTTCCGCCGTTAGACAAAATGCCAATAAGCACTGGTCTTTTTGATGCATCTCTCTTGATCAGTGGTGAGCCAGAATCTCCCTGTAACAATAAAACTTTTATAAATAACAGGGTAACATTAATTAAACCATAATATGAAAAGAAATAACTGCTTTACTTCCATGGCTACTACTCTAGATGACAGTGTTGTAATTTCTTTGTAAGTTAATTCGTAGTTGAATTCACATGCTACGTATGTTGGATCTACTAACTTTACTTTCGCTACTTGAAGAAGGTCTGTTTCATCATCTTATAAATTATGTAAAATGTCATTCATATTATTTTTATTTGGCACGAGACTTTGAATAATACAGAAAAATAACAGACTTACTGAAACCAATATCTCCCCATCCAACAAACGTGGCGGAACCTTTAGTAAATCTTACGTTTTTTCCAACTAAAGCAATCGGAGATATATTGTTAATACTGCGTGCGAGAATCAGAAGTGCAATATCATTATTAAACCTTTTTGGATTAAAACGTGAGTGTATAATCCTTTTTCGAAACAGCACTTTTTTCCCTGCGTTTTTGTTAACGTCTCCTATTCTTCCGTAATAATCTTTGAGTGGGTTTCTGAATAAAAACGAAATTTAAATAAATAATCATTAGACGAAACAATAGAATAAAGCAAAATATTATTACATTACTTTTCCGGTTTGTAATCACATTTTTTGTTTTTATCTTCTACTTGCTTCTTTCTGATAACAGCTTTGTCAGAAATTGGCAGTGAGTTCCTGTTTGTATGTTGGAATATCTATTGTAGCCAAGTATGTTGTTCAACAGAGTGATAATACGAAAATACAATTTTACTTTATATGGTCAATTTTTTAAGTGAAATTGCCTTTCCTAAACGACTAACTATATTAACGTTAAGGACTTATCTCGAGAAAACTCGGGAAAATTCCGTAGCGTTACATAAAACTCGGGCGTTTGGCCCCTCTGAAAAAATTTTTGTTTTTTTTTTATTTTTGGATGTTTTTTAAGTCTCCAAATTTTTTCAAAAATTGTTTACCCGCGCGAAAAAATTTTATCGCGATTTTAATCTACCTTTAATGACGCACGATTAACGCTTGATTGTTTTTTAATGCGATTTTTTAATCAAATTTAATTCATTGTTCTAAAGTTATAGTGCAGGAATTTTACTTCGGTAAAGTTACTTAAAGGTAGTTTCTGATGTCAAAAACGACCTCCGATAGTTTATTAACTTTTTTAATTAATATATTTTATTATATATACGATTAATTATGTCAGGGGGGTCGAAAATCACAATAAAAAACGTAATTTTTTAAAAATATTTAAAAATATACGGCCAGCTAGTATTCACCCTACTTTAAACACTTCTCCTCATGAGACTTCTATGAGAATGTCCCGGGAAATGCAACACCAGCTGTTCTCAAGGTCATCCAGCTGTAAACACAATGACTCATTGGTGTGAGATTTCACAGAAAGGCGAGACAATGGAAAATAAAGTTTGAAGCTGTTTCTTCAAAATTAACGCATTTCTTCACATTTTTTCAGTTTTAAATATTTTTTATGTTTAATTACATTAATATTAAAAATTGGAAGGTCGCAAGGGAATTAATCTGGTTCATAAATTATTGTGAGATCCGCGATTTTTACCTAGTTGTCAGAAAAACATTTGTAAACAACTCCAATGGGAAATCCGCTCTTGGTAAGAATATGTCGGAAGTCACGGTTTGTTTTCACAATTAGGTGAGAAAGTTGATGCTTGGTTGATCGGTATGCACCGTTAGTGTCAACAGAAGTATATCACGTGACTCTTTTTCCACGAAGAACGTATAAAAGCTCAAGGCCTCCCTCGAAAGCGGAGGGCGACCCAAAGGAAGTTATACTATGTGTGCATCTTGTTTCCATACACCGGACATAGCGACCGAAAGGACATTGCCATACGACAGACCAGAACTTCGAACTTCCATACTTATCGCCACAACTAGGTTTATGCGCCGACTTCGAGTCCAACGGCCCATTCAACGAACGCATATTTCTCATTTCCTCATAGAGATATTTGTATTTTAAAGCTTTGTGAACTCTTTCTTTCAAAATAGCCGTTAGAACGGTTAAGAGCGGCCTTTGTATAGTTACTTCATATTTAACCGCACTTACTTTTCATATTATTATCACCTCATGTATCCTAGCTTAATTATTCAAATAAATACTTTGCAATTTTGTTAAACCTGTCTCCTGTCATTGAAAGGACGCCTGCCAAATTCCTCACCTTCCTAGCCACTCGATAAACAGCCATCCGGAACGACAACGTGAGCGACCTTTGCAGACTTTTGCCGAGTAACTGGTCAAGAGGGATTAACCCTTGGCCCACGGTTTCTCACATCATGTTAGCCGTATGAAGGCTGCCTTCCTAGTGCTACTTGTAACTAAACCCTATGTCATTCACTACATTATTTTTGTACATTTATACCATGTGCTTCTGTAAAAATTGTTGTTTGTATCATAATACTGTTTTTCCGCTGTATTTATCAGCAACTAGGTTCACTATCTATGAATATATTTTTGTCTTATGGGTTTTTGTATTTATCTCTCTTTTGAGCAGGCTAAATGTCGTATACAAAGTTTATACATTACATAATAAGTTACTTTAATAGCTGGTACATAATCTTAAAAATTTTTTCAATTATTATCTAGTTTTATGAAATAAAACTTTCATTTGATTGTTAACGTTCATTTGATTGGTGATATAATTTAGTTTTAGGTATTCCGATCTCATGTGGTTAACTTTTACTTGAATACATATCGCTAATCAATATAAAGTAGTAAATATAAGGTGCATTGAACTATTTTCCATTCTAAACTGTTACTATCATTGCCATACAGTAGTGGCCAAAAGTAGGGCTACCTTGACATATTTTATTTTAAAATGTGATCTTTATTTAGTTTACCACCTTCTACATAATTAATATTGTGATAATTGAAAAAGCACAAAAAGCAGTTAAAGTATCCAATTAAATCAAACAAATTTTATTCTAAATCTTATTTACAAAAAGAAAAAACGAAGTTTTGATATTGTAGACCGTGACAAAAGTTGAGCTACCAAAGTTACTATGCATATTAAAATTAATTAATTCGTTCCTGACTTTGAAAACCTAACCCACCCCTTTTTTGTTGTATAGATGTATTTCATGCATAAAAATGCCTATAAAGGAAGTACAACATAATAATATATATACTATTATTTTTTTATCTATATTCCGTTCTTCTCTCTCTCTCTCTATATATATATATGAAAATCGAAACGTTCTGTCGCAGCTAACCAAACCAAAGCTGTCATTTTAGAAAATAAACCAGAATCTAATTGTTCAACATTCGAATTTTGCTTGCGCCATCTGTTATTAATAATAACAGATGGCAAAAATCTTAATTTTCAGAATATGGAACGGTTTTATAAAAAATTTGTAGATGCTAATAAAATGCTAAAGGTTTTTATAGTCCTACCTAATGGAAATAAACAGGACCCTACTATCCCCCCTCTCCCTCGACTTTTTACCACCAAAATTTAATAGCATCAATCGCACTAACAAGCAAATCTCCCTGAAAATTTTTTTTTAAAATTTCGACAAAACCACAAAGGTTATTATGAAAAAAGTAAACTAAATCGAGCACACCACACACAGAAATTGTTTCCGAACACTTTTTCATTTTTCGGCGTTTCAAGATGTTTTAAGTCTAAAAATATGAAAATTTTTAGATTCATTTTTCGACCGATCACCATACATCCCCTCCGTTATATATAACAGTCTGTCGATCTGCCGAGTAGCTTGTTCCGCAACCGAGCCTAAATAAGTCATAAAATTTGTTCGTGAACCGAATTGTTCCAAAAACAAAGCCTTCGAAATCCGTGGTTTGATTGTATTGTTGTACATATATGCCACCTTATCCTATTGTTGTGATTAGCTTTTTCTGCTCTGATCTATTTTACGTGCATTACGGGAAAAAAAATTGCAACCTATTTATAAAGTTACTTATATTCAGAGATAAAATATTAAACATTTACTTATTACTAAATTTTAAATTATATTCAATAATACATGTCTGCCATTNAAGCGGAGGGCGACCCAAAGGAAGTTATACTATGTGTGCATCTTGTTTCCATACACCGGACATAGCGACCGAAAGGACATTGCCATACGACAGACCAGAACTTCGAACTTCCATACTTATCGCCACAACTAGGTTTATGCGCCGACTTCGAGTCCAACGGCCCATTCAACGAACGCATATTTCTCATTTCCTCATAGAGATATTTGTATTTTAAAGCTTTGTGAACTCTTTCTTTCAAAATAGCCGTTAGAACGGTTAAGAGCAGCCTTTGTATAGTTACTTCATATTTAACCGCACTTACTTTTCATATTATTATCACCTCATGTATCCTAGCTTAATTATTCAAATAAATACTTTGCAATTTTGTTAAACCTGTCTCCTGTCATTGAAAGGACGCCTGCCAAATTCCTCACCTTCCTAGCCACTCGATAAACAGCCATCCGGAACGACAACGTGAGCGACCTTTGCAGACTTTTGCCAAGTAACTGGTCAAGAGGGATTAACCCTTGGCCCACGGTTTCTCACATCATGTTAGCCGTATGAAGGCTGCCTTCCTAGTGCTACTTGTAATTAAACCCTATGTCATTCACTACATTCACTACATTATTTTTGTACATTTATACCATGTGCTTCTGTAAAAATTGTTGTTTGTATCATAATACTGTTTTTCCGCTGTATTTATCAGCAACTAGGTTCACTATCTATGAATATATTTTTGTCTTATGGGTTTTTGTATTTATCTCTCTTTTGAGCAGGCTAAATGTCGTATACAAAGTTTATACATTACATAATAAGTTACTTTAATAGCTGGTACATAATCTTAAAAATTTTTTCAATTATTATCTAGTTTTATGAAATAAAACTTTCATTTGATTGTTAACGTTCATTTGATTGGTGATATAATTTAGTTTTAGGTATTCCGATCTCATGTGGTTAACTTTTACTTGAATACTTATCGCTAATCAATATAAAGTAGTAAATATAAGGTGCATTGAACTATTTTCCATTCTAAACTGTTACTATCATTGCCATACAGTAGTGGCCAAAAGTAGGGCTACCTTGACATATTTTATTTTAAAATGTGATCTTTATTTAGTTTACCACCTTCTACATAATTAATATTGTGATAATTGAAAAAGCACAAAAAGCAGTTAAAGTATCCAATTAAATCAAACAAATTTTATTCTAAATCTTATTTACAAAAAGAAAAAACGAAGTTTTGATATTGTAGACCGTGACAAAAGTTGAGCTACCAAAGTTACTATGCATATTAAAATTAATTAATTCGTTCCTGACTTTGAAAACCTAACCCACCCCTTTTTTGTTGTATAGATGTATTTCATGCATAAAAATGCCTATAAAGGAAGTACAACATAATAGTATATATACTATTATTTTTTTATCTATATTCCGTTCTTCTCTCTCTCTCTCTATATATATATATATATATATATGAAAATCGAAACGTTCTGTCGCAGCTAACCAAACCAAAGCTGTCATTTTAGAAAATAAACCAGAATCTAATTGTTCAACATTCGAATTTTGCTTGCGCCATCTGTTATTAATAATAACAGATGGCAAAAATCTTAATTTTCAGAATATGGAACGGTTTTATAAAAAATTTGTAGATGCTAATAAAATGCTAAAGGTTTTTATAGTCCTACCTAATGGAAATAAACAGGACCCTACTATCCCCCCTCTCCCTCGACTTTTTACCACCAAAATTTAATAGCATCAATCGCACTAACAAGCAAATCTCCCTGAAAATTTTTTTTTAAAATTTCGACAAAACCACAAAGGTTATTATGAAAAAAGTAAACTAAATCGAGCACACCACACACAGAAATTGTTTCCGAACACTTTTTCATTTTTCGGCGTTTCAAGATGTTTTAAGTCTAAAAATATGAAAATTTTTAGATTCATTTTTCGACCGATCACCATACATCCCCTCCGTTATATATAACAGTCTGTCGATCTGCCGAGTAGCTTGTTCCGCAACCGAGCCTAAATAAGTCATAAAATTTGTTCGTGAACCGAATTGTTCCAAAAACAAAGCCTTCGAAATCCGTGGTTTGATTGTATTGTTGTACATATATGCCACCTTATCCTATTGTTGTGATTAGCTTTTTCTGATCTGATCTATTTTACGTGCATTACGGGAAAAAAAATTGCAACCTATTTATAAAGTTACTTATATTCAGAGATAAAATATTAAACATTTACTTATTACTAAATTTTAAATTATATTCAATAATACATGTCTGCCATTTACATCAAAATTTACAACAAAATGTATGACAAAATATTCATTCGCATATCAAATAATATTTTAGTTACAAAATTGTAATAAAAATTAAAACAAACATACTCGTGTACAATGTGCGCTGCTCCTATTATCGTCCTTGTTGTGATTAAAGAAAAAGCACCCCTATGTGTTTCCTTTTCAAATAATGCTACCTAAATTATAATAACGTTTCTTGTAAGTACAGTTGCAAGAGGTGAAATGTTTACATGTATAAACTCACCAAAAATGGAAATTCCCCTTTTTCTGCCTTCCTTCCTCCAATCATCCTGCGTTCAATTACTAAAATTATGCAAAGTTTTATCAATTAAGTACTCTCTCACTTTGTAAGACATTCATTATTATTTATACCTCTACTTGACGTGTTTTCATACTTTTTAGAAGCACAGAAGTAATATTCAGCACTTAGAAAAAGCATTAATCCAACTCTATTATTTGTCAGCATTTAAATGAAGAAATGTGGAAACAAAAAAAATTACAGTTGAAATTCAATAATAAAGCAAATATTTCTATTAAATTATAATTATCTTAACAATTTAAACTTGTGATATAAATGCAAACTAAACTTTTTACTCAATTATTAAACTACAAAAACATGAAAACATACGTTAAAAAGCTTTTCATACTTGGGATGTGAAAAGAATGTTAAACTTTATTAAATGTGCTGGACAGAACCTGAAAGAAATTTACGTCGTTTAGTCATCAGGGTGGTAATTTCACGATTAGATATGACACAAATTCAAAAGCAAATATGTATTACCTGCACTGGTGATTCAGTACGAGACTTTCAGTAAAATAAACTTCTGAAAGTGAAGCGAAATTCGACTTATTTTCATTTCCAATTTTATTGAACATTACAAATTATATTTATACTTATCAAACATTTTATACCTTATGGAAACATTTCATAATTTTTTACTTTTTTAAACTTTATACAATAATTAAAGTTATTTTCACTACTTCACAACGTGCAAGAATTTCATTAATGATGTCAACTATTATGAGCTTGTTTTTCAAATTACATCACAGGATATAAAAAAATTATTTTTCCACCCGTTGATCTTTAATTACCAGAATTTAATGCAGTTACTATCTCTAATAGACAAACCTAATTTTAAAAAGCTTGAACAAAAACCACAGGAGGTATTAAGCTTTAAATTGAATGTACAAAATCATACTTTTCACCCACACATACACACTCAAGCACTCACTCACAATAACATACATATACTTTTTTGTGTATAGATATTATTGTGAGTAAGTGCGTGAGTGTGTGGCTACCCTTTAATTTTTTTCATCTTTACGACGTTTTAAGGTCCATTGAGTCCAAAAAATATAAAAATGTATGGCGGTTTTTGATTGATTGCCATACTTTCCTTGGTTATACAAGGTGTATTTTTAAGTAGATTGAAACAAACTATAGCAAGGATCGTTGTTCGTTATACAGTCGACCCCCCCAACACAAGGGCTCCTATAGTTCAGATTCCTATATCACGGCGAAAGAATTGCGACAGTATTCTTACAAACATGCTAAAAAACTCCTATAATTCGGTAAAACTTCATCGCCCACTCGTGTCGCGACAGGATTGCACAAACCGTTGAGTTAAAAAGAGCAGCGAACCTACTAAAAACCATTTATTATTTAACGTTCATAAAAATTACCGTATTTTGACGAGTATAAGTCGCACTTTTTTTACTACTTTTTGGGGCTCAAAATCATGGTGCTTCTTATACACGACAGGTAATCATTTTTACATTGAAATTATTTACAGTAGTGGTCCACTCAACGGACCAACCTGTGCAGTGATCCGTTAAGCACATGGTCCCTCAACCGAATGGCTAGAGTACCTAGATTATCAGAATAGCGACACACGAGTCATCGCCGTCATGTTCTGTCGACTGTCATTGTGTGACCTCTGAGTTTACATTAAGAAATGACGATTATTTCAGTTTAATAAAGGTGTCGATTCACCCATCCGTCATATTCTTGAATAAAAAAAGAATAAAATACAATCTCCCATTAAAAAAGTTTTTTCTAAATTTTCTGTCTCAAAATAGGGATGCGTCTTATACTCGACTGCGACTTATACTTGTCAAAATACGGTATCTCCAAAAAATGATATCTCCAAAGTTCAGCGAATTTTTCGCAAAAAAAAAATACTTTATCAGGAAGCACGCGAGTGCCATTCGATGACAATCTCCACGACGAAAACAGGCTTAAGCAACGGCGTAATCGGACGGTACACACTCGGTAAGTAATTCTACAATTTTTGTTTATAGCATAGTTTATATGGATTATTTCCAAAAAAATTATACGTATTTTGGAAATGCTGAGTCGAATTAGTCTGGAATCTACCGTGTTATAAGGCGTCGACTGTACTGAAAAAATGTACGTTGTATGATAATTGTATTGACTATTCTATAGTATGTGCAATGGTCAAAGTGTAAGTACCGCTAATTATTATCACGGGCGAATCTACATAGGGGCTAATATGGCTTAAGACCTGGGCCTCCAAGTGTCAAGGGTCACAAAACTCGAATTATCATAAAGTTTTAATACCTATTCATTAACAATAACCACTTATCTTATACTAAAAATATTTAATAATTTTAATTTTTTATTATATTAAAAATTTTGTTTATTTATACATTTTTGTTAATACAGTAGAGCGTCGGTTATACGAAAGCATTGCAGTCAGCAAATTTAAATTTTCGCTAGTGCTGTGGCGCTTCAACCTTTGGCTATATCTTGGGCTACTCCAATATTTTTTTGTTGGTGTGTGTGTTTTAGCTGGCAGCACTGGCACTTTTGTATGGTGTTTTTCTGAGAACTGTGTGTTGTGCTGAATCGAATGTTTTTGATACTAGATTAACTTCTAAAGTGTATTTTTTTAGTTATATTTTTCAATATATTTATTTTGTTTGTACAAAATTAAAAATAATTTTTAATGATACAATAGCCACGATTATTATTTTAAAAAGTTTTCGTTAGGCTTAACATCGACGAAAATTCAACACGAAGCGACACGCGACGGAGAAAAATTTCAACATGAATAGGTTAATATATTTTTCGTACATAATCGGTTATCCGAAAAACAAGTTATCCGAACAACCCCAGTCTCCAATTGATTCGGCTAAACGACGCTGTACTATAATATTTATTTACTTCTTAAATTTTTTAAAAAAATAAGATGTAAAGTTTGTCATTTAACACCATTTCATAAATAAATATATTTCAACTCTGACTTTGATGTTAATAAATATAAACTTCATAACCCAATTTTTAATCTAACAGAAAATACGGCCATTTAGACTTCAGTCAGATCTAGACCCCGAAAATGCTAGATCCGCATTTGATTATTATTATTTAATTGTCAAATTTGTTTTATTCTGTTCTAAGATTTACTTAATACCTTATTTATTCATCAGATGAACCACTCAAAGTTCACGATTTCCCCCATTTAAAGTTCAGTTACTCAGTCACATATAATGTGATGTAAAGACGGAACGAAAATGACACAAATATGGCGTCGAACACTACCCACATGCGCAATACGTATATCCGGGTTTCCAATATGACACACGGGAGTTGTCTATTGTTCAATATTATGGAATCGACAGAAAAGATTAAATTTAGTCTTTTTGTATTAAGGTAGTTTGAAGTATTTAATATTTATAATTTTATACTTATATAATAACCAGGTTATATCATTTAAATTTTAAAGAAAATTATTACATTTCTGAAAATGCAATTTAGTTATTTGAAATTTTTTCATTAAATTAAAAATCTGACATAAAAATTACGTCACGCGTGACGTTTTGTTCTTAAGTCAGTTTGAAATCTTCCGAGGATAACTAGAAAGACAAGACTGGGTACGTTTTAGTCACGTGAACAACATAGGGCCGTGTATAGGTTCTTGTGTTTTGTTTTTCGCTACACGTGTACAGCACGTGTAGCGAAAAAATTAATTTACCTGGACACATATACGTTAATATTGCGTTTCGAACCTGATCAAATTTCAAAAGGATAACTTCAGCAAAAAGAATAAAAGTAACTAAAACGTTTTTCAGCCGTTTTGTTTGAAAAATCCATTGGTTTACTTCTTATATACAAAAGAAGTTAGATCAATTTCAAATCTCCAAAACATTGTAGTACGTTACAAAATAAGGATTCAGGACAAACGTAATTAGTATTATTACAAAATGAACAAAAGTTAGTGTTGTGTTATATTAACATTTCTGTTGATTCGCTGCGTTTTTGCCACTCTTACTATTGATAATATAAATATAAAAATTTAAGTTGTTAACAGTTACAAATTAAGTCCAAGTCAGCTTCCATAAAATCTGTTAATGTTAAATTTTGAAAATTGTTTTAGATAATTTAATAATATTTATTGAAAACAATGTTCTTACTAATGTTGATGACAGTGAATCTAAAATTTCTTTTGATAACACAGATTCCAGTGTTTCCAGAATTTATTTGTGAACATTTAGAATTAGCTAACCAAACATGTAATAATAGATATTACGAAAACATATTTGCCGCTAAAAGTTACATTCGTTCATTCATGTTTTACATATAAAGCATTGTATCAAAGTAAATGTTTTTATCTTCTCCTCCTAAATATAAGAAGATTAATGTGAAAGTTTAATGTTACAGATCATAATATCGAAAGTAGCTTACAATATTTAAAGGATAAAATAAAGTATTTAAAAAGTCAAGAATATATATTGAGGAAGAATTAAATTTTAGTTGAATGTAGTGAAAACGAACTACTAAAACTTGCAAAAGCAGCTCAGGTACTTATGATATCTAGCATTGTATCTAAATATAAAGATGTTGTTAGTATAATGCCAATATATTGTAGTGCTACGCGACTATGTGTTGTTGTTATTTTTTTGTTGTCTCAGTTTCCTTTTTGTATGTATCGGGTTTTCTTGTATTGTACGTATTTTTTGTTTTTTTTCTTATGGTGTCTACTTTTAGATACCATGAGAAAAGCCTTCTGATTGGTACTGGGTGAAATATAAAATTCTTACAATTCCAAGGCTATTTCTTTCTAGTATGGTTTCCACCAAGCAATTAAATTTAAACATTATTAACAGTAACTTTTTTAAACAAATCACTATATTAAAATATAAATTATTACGTTAAACATTAACATTATCACGTTTTTTGCATTTAAACTCTATTCTAAAACTTACATCCCCTTTTGTTCTCCTTGACTTACACTTCGTCATAACCTATTTCCATCGTTCTGGTTATGCATCACACACTCCCCTCCCTCTATGAATCTTCTACATGATTGGTGTATTTCTCTTCCGATATTATTATTTATTCTATTATTTTGTTTAATTATATTAATATGTTCGTATACTTGTCGTTTATAATTTTTTTCCTTATTTTTACCGAATTTTATACTATTGTTGAATTACAGTGTTCCCCTACTACTGAATTTGCATAATTTTCCCTGATCGCACAAATATCTTCACTTAATCTTATTTTTAATTTTCTTTTTGTTTCATCAATATATTTTTTCCGGGATACAATTACAATTAAACGAATACACAACTCCTTTTTGTTCTGTTATATATATATATTTTTTCATTTCTATAACATAGATTTCTTTCAGTTGAATTTACTTTTTCCGATATTAAATTAATTCTACTAACTACTACGTCTTTAATTCTTTCAAACAACTTTGGACTATACTTTAAAATTAGTTTGCAAACGTAAAGGAATAAAGTTTATTTTAAAGTTCATTTAATTACATAAATTTAAATACTTATATATTTATGAAATTCAAAAATGCATAATATTGAGTTATATGTGAATTTTTAGCAAATACTAATAAATATATACTGGCCGCATTTCATGAAAGTTAAACATTTTTACTCACCTTTCTGTCGCCTAAATTACTTCGAAACTTTTAATCGATAAACATTTGAATGAAAGTAAATGCCGTATTTACTGAGCACGTGAACGAGTTAATATTTAATTTGTATTTATATGGATTATAATGTTTACAAGTTTTCAGCAATAAATATTGAAAATGAAATTAAACGCCGTGTTTATTATAAACATACAAAGTACTAACAAATATGTTTTTGCGTTTAAAATACAATTCCTAGAATATTCCTAGATAACAAATATTTGTTATCTGAATTTTCAAAATTGTAAATGCTATCTATAAATGCTAAACAAGATAAAGAAAAGTCATATTAATGTAACGAAGGGAAGCAATCTCTAAAGCAAATTTTCGCGATAAATTATTTTTAAAACAGAATTTTTAAACTAATATTTTTTATCTATATGTTAAAAGTATTTAGTGCGAAATATTTAACAAGAAAAGCTGAATAAAATAAACGAAGTACACTACCACCGCGATTGAATCATAGTTTATTCTAATCTTGAAACGTCTCGAAAATAAGATTTTCAAAATATGGAAGTGCTTTTCCATAACTTTTTATTTTTTAAATTTGCATGTTGTTAAGGCATTAACCCATTTATTCCAAAAACTTTGTCATTTGATATTAAAATGTATATAATTTCTTCCAAACAATGTTAGAATCGAAGTTTAAGCGTCAGAGCTTACATCAGTTTCCGACAACCGGAAGATGAGTCCCGCTCACGATGACGATTTAGGAGGACAAAACAAAATAAAAAGGATCGAGTTGGAGGTCGCGGTTATGTCGATAAAGTGTTGGCCATGTACGATTAAACACACATATAGCGGCCGGATGGCCGAGCGGTCAAGGTGGCAGCCTACCGCTTCGACTGAAATAATTAAATCCTAAATATGCGGCCGGATGGCCGAGCGGTCAAGGTGGCAGCCTACCGCTCTGGGGGACGCGGATTCGAATCTGAATGGGTCGAAAAATTCCCAGGAATTTTTCGGGGGTGGTCCGTTCGGATATGTCGAGCCCCGTCCCTCACCACCCGGCAGCCCCATTGTGGGCCTGACCGAACCCATAATAATCTTTCAACAAGAGGCCCTCTTAGTGCCCACAGGGCGGAAAAGGTTAACTAGTTCTAATCCATTTGAAAGGAAACAGAGTTCAACTTATTGAGTTATGAATTACCTCGCTAATCGTTTGTCGTCGGCGGTCAGGTGCAGGATGGAAGTTGACCAGTCGTTCTCTGATGTCTTGAAAGCCGCCCCGATAACGGGGACGTGAGCCCTCTTTATACCAAATTCGAGGGGATGAGAACTGTCATACTATTAATGATTTATACGCACACCTGTTAGTGCGTTCATGTCTGGATCTAGCCACAACGGACCTCTGGCCACTGAGAAGTTTGTTTAATATATAGATCTTGATGCTTCGAAGATGTGATTTTATAATATAAATTTCTGTAGATTTGACAGCTCTCACCCATAAATTAGCATCCAGCTAATAATAAGTTCTGCAAACTGGTCAACAATCTCGATATTGTTTATATCAAACGTCGCGCTTGACGACGAACGAGGCGACTTATTGCTGTAGCCACGTGTCACGTGGAACCAAAGAGGGGATAAGAAACATCGCCAATTCCCGTCTTGTTGACTCTATCGTCTATCGAATTTCCTTAAACAAATGGTGGTGACTTATTTTATTGATATTTTAACAATTATTTCGAGGAGATCGTCTCGGTCGTTGACCTTAGAACTCTTCTCCCTCTTACATAAAATTACGAGGTATATAAGAGGAGCGATACTGTTCAAAAACAAGAAAAAAAGAGTTCAGACCCTCACAAACAGCGTACATTAATTGTAGTTATTAAATGTCCCACAAATAGCCGACTGAACAATATAAGTAAATATTGTAAAGTGACTTATTACACACCCATCCTATTTAATTATCACTATATATTCAGTTTTTTGTATGTCATCTACTTGATAAAAGAAGTAAGGCCAAAATACATTTTTTAAGTTAATTACATAGACTGGGTGTGTCATAAGTATGTTCATTAATAATAAATAACTAAGTAAATTTTTGTAATTAAATAATACAGGCAAAAAGCTTATTAATATGAGAAAAGGTAAGTTTGCGCCTCTCCAAACAGCATGCCATAAATTACTTCGGTTTGTTGTCATCTGTGTACCACCTACATACGCGATAAATAGTGAAACATTCCCTAACAAAATATTAAAACACTGACCATACAACAGAGCTGTTCTTTCTGTATACAGAAAATATTAAATCTGTTGTATGACCAGTGTTTTAATATTTTGTAAGGGTATGTTCCCAATTTAGTGATTGGAAAATTGAAAAAATAATATAGTTTCAAACATTATTTTTTACATTACTCATTAAGTGTACTTTGTTTTTGTGTTCATACATATAAGAAGCGCTTCTAGTTATTCAATATGATTAATACAAATGTTTTATATTCGTTCACGTATGTAGTTACGTGTTTTACGTCAGTTTGTACGTTACGTTAGTTTGTACTCACGTTGAAACGTACTCAATACAGTGATGTGTTCTGAATATTACTTGCATTCAGGGAACGTAGTGAAGGAAGTATAAAAGTACGAAATACATTTCGTACTTTTATACTTTTTTCCCAATTCGATGAGTGCAGAAAGAATAGAGTAAAGACTACTCAGCATCTAAACGGGAAAATAGAGATAAGATAAAATCCACAATAATAAATTAATATCCATTACTTAATCGAAACTTACTTTAATAGGAAAATTGCGTTTGACCCGAAAAAATCCACCAAAAGAAATTCCAATAAGTGTTTTCCCGAATCTCTTCATAAAATTCAGCATCTGTTTGGAAAATAACATAATTTCAGAATAAAATTTATCGATAACTTACAGTAGAACATTCGATTTACCTTCAATTTAGAAACAAGGGAAAATCTGCATGAGGAAAATTTATTAATCTCGTTGAAATTTTTGTAAAGCTAAAATGAAAAGTAAACAATTTAGATTATATATAAATTTGAAGGTACAAGTATTAACTAAATCTTACCGAAGATGTAAATCTGGATAAACCGAATGAAATAATCATAAATCCGAAAATTTCAGTTATAATCATGGCAAATGCAACCAGTTTAAACTCTGCCGGTAAATCGTAAAACAAAGTAATGGATACCAGGATACTGAACCCATACAAAGTAGTGCAGTAAACATCAGGAAAATATATTTCGAGCCGGTTATTGACGTTTCGAACGTCTTCCATTAATTCTGTATGTTCTTCTATTATGTATACGACTAGACGTTTGATCTTGCTTTTTTCACGAGAAACTACATCGAGTTTGCTCGACAATGTGTTACATCCATTAAACAAGACGAGTAAATAATAATAAAGAACGAATAATATACAAGCAGTTTCTCCTGCTAAAAAAATAACAATAATGCCCAATCGATATTGCAGAGAAGGAATTTCATTACAGTTGCCTTTTCCATGGCAAAATATAGAGAAAAGTCAAGCATGAAGTAAAATGTGACTTGCAGTAAAGCAATGACTACGAAGAAAACTGCAAATTGATATTCTATAGAGGTAATTAACGTTTCCTCCACTTCATAGCAAGATTTACAACTAGGAAGATGAAAATGAGTTCGTTTAATCAGTGGCGTGCCGTGACATTTGATGATAGGGAAGCTGCGTTTCTATAAGAAGCCGACTTCCAGGGGCAATCAGTCAGCAATGGTTAAAGGGCAGTGTTTCTCAAAGTTTTTGGTCCGCGACCTCCCTTTTGCACTTAAGAATTTCAAAGGACCCCCTGAAGAATGGGTATGTGTAGAAAAACATCCCGAAGGTGGGATTAATTTAAATTCAAAGGTGTTAATTTCTTTTGTTTAATTGCATTGAAACATTGAATTTTATTAGCAGATTTATTTTTAGTATCATTAAAAATTAATAACTTATCTTTGGTACATCTTTGAACAAAATATTCTATGTATATGTTTCAACATTAGTAAACTCAATTAGTTAAGTTAAACATATTTTAAATTACATAAATTAAATAATAAATAAAATAAATAAATTAAGGACATTGATGCATATTAAATTATATTTTAAATTACATTTAATGTGATGGGTGAGCCTGCATATTTTGGCACAATAAATTAAACCTGGGTTTAATATCAGTCAGTGCAGGTCTCATAGCAATTTCTATGTTGCAGAGACGAGAGCGCTGCTTTGTTTTGATATTGGTCATTACTGAAAATGCCATTTCGCATAAATAAGTGGTTGCAAATGGTAAGAGAACTGCCATTGCTAACTCAGAGAGTAGTGGATACTCTGCTTTCACACTAAGCCAAAAAGAATTCAATGTTTGCTTACTAAACTCGGTTTTAAGTTTTGTATTACAACTAAATTCGGCAAATTCTTCTTGGGCACTTAATGGGAGATGTTTCACTTGTTCCATTTCTACAAGGAATGGTTTTTGCACCCAGATAAACTGTTCAGTATTTAAATCTGATAAAAAGTATTTTTTAAATTGTTCTTCCATACATGACAAATGATCAATTATGATTTTCTTAATTAAAATATTATCCAAATTATTTTCTGTGATAAAATCATATGTACTTGAAAACATTACCAACATGCCATTTTCCACACTTGATTTCCATAAGTTTATCTTCTTCATAAACGCATNGGTCAACAATCTCGATATTGTTTATATCAAACGTCGCGCTTGACGACGAATGAGGCGACTTATTGCTGTAGCCACGTGTCACGTGGAACCAAAGAGGGGATAAGAAACATCGCCAATTCCCGTCTTGTTGACTCTATCGTCTATCGAATTTCCTTAAACAAATGGTGGTGACTTATTTTATTGATATTTTAACAATTATTTCGAGGAGATCGTCTCGGTCGTTGACCTTAGAACTCTTCTCCCTCTTACATAAAATTACGAGGTATATAAGAGGAGCGATACTGTTCAAAAACAAGAAAAAAAGAGTTCAGACCCTCACAAACAGCGTACATTAATTGTAGTTATTAAATGTCCCACAAATAGCCGACTGAACAATATAAGTAAATATTGTAAAGTGACTTATTACACACCCATCCTATTTAATTATCACTATATATTCAGTTTTTTGTATGTCATCTACTTGATAAAAGAAGTAAGGCCAAAATACATTTTTTAAGTTAATTACATAGACTGGGTGTGTCATAAGTGTGTTCATTAATAATAAATAACTAAGTAAATTTTTGTAATTAAATAATACAGGCAAAAAGCTTATTAATATGAGAAAAGGTAAGTTTGCGCCTCTCCAAACAGCATGCCATAAATTACTTCGGTTTGTTGTCATCTGTGTACCACCTACATACGCGATAAATAGTGAAACATTCCCTAACAAAATATTAAAACACTGACCATACAACAGAGCTGTTCTTTCTGTATACAGAAAATATTAAATCTGTTGTATGGCCAGTGTTTTAATATTTTGTAAGGGTATGTTCCCAATTTAATGATTGGAAAATTGAAAAAATAAGATAGTTTCAAACATTATTTTTTACATTACTCATTAAGTGTACTTTGTTTTTGTGTTCATACATATAAGAAGCGCTTCTAGTTATTCAATATGATTAATACAAATGTTTTATATTCGTTCACGTATGTAGTTACGTGTTTTACGTCAGTTTGTACGTTACGTTAGTTTGTACTCACGTTGAAACGTACTCAATACAGTGATGTGTTCTGAATATTACTTGCATTCAGGGAACGTAGTGAAGGAAGTATAAAAGTACGAAATACATTTCGTACTTTTATACTTTTTTCCCAATTCGATGAGTGCAGAAAGAATAGAGTAAAGACTACTCAGCATCTAAACGGGAAAATAGAGATAAGATAAAATCCACAATAATAAATTAATATCCATTATTTAATCGAAACTTACTTTAATAGGAAAATTGCGTTTGACCCGAAAAAATCCACCAAAAGAAATTCCAATAAGTGTTTTCCCGAATCTCTTCATAAAATTCAGCATCTGTTTGAAAAATAACATAATTTCAGAATAAAATTTATCGATAACTTACAGTAGAACATTCGATTTACCTTCAATTTAGAAACAAGGGAAAATCTGCATGAGGAAAATTTATTAATCTCGTTGAAATTTTTGTAAAGCTAAAATGAAAAGTAAACAATTTAGATTATATATAAATTTGATGGTACAAGTATTAACTAAATCTTACCGAAGATGTAAATCTGGATAAACCGAATGAAATAATCATAAATCCGAAAATTTCAGTTATAATCATGGCAAATGCAACCAGTTTAAACTCTGCCGGTAAATCGTAAAACAAAGTAATGGATACCAGGATACAAAACCCATACAAAGTAGTGCAGTAAACATCAGGAAAATATATTTCGAGCCGGTTACTGACGTTTCGATCGTCTTCCATTAATTCTGTATGTTCTTCTATTATGTATACGACTAGACCTTTGATGTTGGTTCTTTCACGAGAAACTACATCGAGTTTGCTCGACAATGTGTTAAATCCATTAAACAAGACGAGTAAATAATAATAAAGAACGAATAATATACAAGCAGCTTGTCCTGCTAAAAAGAATAACAATAATGCCCAATCAATATTACAGAGAAGAAATTCCATTACATTTGCCTTTTCCATGGGAGAATATAGAGAAAAGTCAAGCATGAAGTAAAATGTGACTTGCAGTAAAGCAATGACTGCGAAGAAAACTGCAAATTGGAATTCTGTGGAGGTAATTAACTTTTCCTCCACTTCATAGCAAGATTTACAAGTAGGAAGATGAAAATGAGTTCATTTAATCAGTGGCGTGCCGTGACATTTGATGATAGGGAAACTGTATTTCTATAAGAAGCCGACTTCCAGGGGCAATCAGTCAGCAATGGTCTAGGGTCCATTCGTATTCGTTTGTTCGATAAGCCAGTAAAAACCGTAGACTTCTCTAAATGTATTTTTAATTAATAGATTATCTAACGCACTTAATAAATAAGCAAGTTCAACATAATTAACTCTCTTATATTAAATTTAATAGATTTTATACGCCCTCTAAATGACAATTCTCGCTTCGATAACATCTACTAATTAAAATATATCTATTAGCCGTAACTATCCTATTATAATTTTCAATATATATTTTATATTGTGTACTAATGTTAAATTCTATTCTATTTTGATTTCCTAATTGCTTCAATTTTACGAAAAAATCGATGCGAGATTTAGGATTTTCGTGTTTTTTGCCAGCTTTACTCAAATTATTTAAATCGTCAAAGCCAATCTCATTCTACACACTAATTTTATTTGATAATAGTTGCAAACAAAACAATTTTTGCATTTTTATGCATCCACAAAGCCATTTTATATTTCATAAATTTTATTATGAAAATGTCGAACAAATTTTTTCTTTTTCATTATATGGTCTCGAGCCAAAACTTTTAAAAATAAATTTTCAATATCACAATTACATTCTAAATTGCTAGCTATAGGGGAGATCGGGGCAACTTCGGCATGCGGGGCAAGTTTGTCAAGCGCTTTTTTTAAAAAACAAATTAAAAGGAGACTTTGGTTATAGGTTAGGCAGTTGAGTTTTATTGGTGGCTTGTTGAGTGTAGTGTTTTTATTGTTCTCCAACAAGNGTAATGCCTTTTTATGTTATATTCTTTTAATGTCGACACAGTCTCTGAGCATATTAAGCATACAGCTTTATCTTTGACGAAAGTGAAAAAATAATCAAATTTTCACTTTTCTTGGAAATACCTGTGCTCATCCGCAACCTTCCGTTTTTCTGTTTGTTTTTCCGACATGCTAATTATGGATTAAAAATTTGAAAGTTAAAAAAATTTGTAGGAAAACTTAATTTTGAATAAAAAAAACTGCAATATTAATGACAATAATATTGCACTCACGCCTTTCAAGAAACACAAGAATAGCTAAAATTGCTAGTTAACAGCTTACCAGTCTGACTGATTGTGTGAGAGAAGCAAACACAAACAAGCACAGACGCGGCGCGTTCGTATTGCATGTTTGAACAAGTCGCCGACAAGAGAGTAACTCGTCACAGAAAATTGTTTCGGTTTAGTATGTACTACTATTTGTTTTCTAACTAATTCGTTTTAGGACCAGGTATCGTCCACGGAAATTTTCAAAATTTACAACTTTTCGGTCACTCTCGTCGAACTGAAAAAATTTCTGTCTTTATTACATCTAATAAGTATTTCGAAGAAATCAGTCCCCACTGTACTCGGCTAGAGATGGTTCGGTTAAGCTTTTGTTTAAGTAATATTCCGGCTCTTTCATCAGGGTTTTATGTCCCCAATTCCCTAATCGCTTAATTATTTAACTACTTCTTAAGTAGAAATAAGTCGAAACCGGTTACTTTGTACTCGAATATTTGTAGTCTCGGGAAAAAGTGGAAAGACAAATTTTTATGACAAACGGATACATAAATCGTAAATTTAAGGAAAATAAATTTTAGAGCCTTTTCTGTACCTCGCGCATGTTTCTCGTTCATTAAATTTAGTTGTAAATGACGCTGTCGAAGTAACGGTTAATTTTTTAACATTATACAAGAATTGTGCACGTTTTTTTCTACATCCCCTTAAAGATGGGATGTACGAAATCGTAATATCACTGGTTTAACATCGAAATCCGTGAGTAATATAAAATCGGAAAGCGGAATAAAT